TGACCACGACCTCCATCAAGCTAACGTGGTCCAGACAAAATGATTACAAGCCTTCCTACTCCTACCTGGTCATAGCGAGACAGAGTGGCAGCGAGATAAAGAATGATTCGACAAAGAATGATTCGACAAAGAATGAGACGTACACCTTCTATAATCTGACCTCTGGAGAGCTGTACACATTTTCTGTGTTCACGGTTATAGCAGGGGTCAAATCCACAGAGGAAAATACACAGAGTTACACAAGTATGTCTTAAAAATCTCTGAAATGTGCTTCAAAGTCAAGTCTTCCTAATCCATCTTGCAATTTATAGTGATCCCCAACAGACTGTCAGAGCTTGGTTATATGTGATATTGTATTATTTATATGGATAGCATTTTTTTTCTTAAAGGGGAACTGATAAGAGAAAAGAGTTCCAGGCACCGCAGGCAGATATAGAAGCTCCAGTAAAGCTGAAGCCTACAATTTTCATGAAAAGTTTTCCTCCCTGTTTGACAATCAGTAGCCGTTAGCTCGATACCTTTGCTCTTTAGTTTCTATCCTTTCTGTGAAAGGTCTCAACCCCGAGCCAAAATATAACATTATCAGGGTTTTAGTGATGTTATATAAACTTCTAAAAGTAAATCTTTAAACATGTTTTTGGTCAGAAAACAAGTAATTTGGTCGACATTTTCTTTGTGTTACTACTCAGCCCCTATTAGTCCAATACTAATGTTCATTTAATTTGAATCTTCTTTTTTATCCAGTGCCTGAAGCAGTCTCAAACATTACAGCCGTAGGAACCACAACTAGCCTTTCAGTGAGCTGGACACTGGTGACAGGGAAGGTCTCCAGTTACAGTGTTACAGTGCTAAATAGTGCTGGACAGTTAGTGAACAGCACGGATGTAAACAATCAAACTACAAACACAGTCTTTGGGAGCTTGACACCAGGAGTAAACTACTGTGTCCAGTTGATCACCAAAAGTGGACCTTTTCAGAGTAACAGTTCACGTGTCTGCAATGCAACTTGTGAGTTTCATTGACAATCTGACTTCTACCTCAAATTGTATATTCAGCATTTTTTATCAACACCTATTTTAAAAATGCATGTATTGTTTGAATTAATTGAATTAATCAATCAAATAATCAAATCCTTCTCCTTCTTCAGTTCCCAACCCTCCTCGCTCCATCACAGTGCAATCTCAGACTGTTAATTCCATCAACTTCACCTGGGCCCTTCCACAGAACATGAACCACGAGGGTTACAACTTTAGTGTCACCACCACTAACAACAACTTTGTGACAAAAGACAACTGGTTCCTGCTGGGAAACCTCCCATCTGGAAGCCCCTTCAATATCTCTGTTGTTACTGTGGGTGTGATGGGATATAAAAGTACATCAGTGACAACAGTAAACTATACCAGTGAGTAGTGTTACGAGATCAGTTTCACCACGGTTATTTTTATTCCTCAAAACTTCCAGAGACTGCACCGGAACTCAGTAGTTATTTCACAAAACTTTTATTCATCTTCATTTAAGCATGCACTTCCAGAAGGGAAGACAAGGCCGGTGTGTCCCTCTGCAAAATCTTCACCCCTTTGTTAGTTACAGCCAGCTTTATAGAGGCGACCCCATCATAAAACCCCCATGGTGTGCTCCAAACTCTGTCTGTGTGTATGCATTAGCACGTGAGTGCCTGTGTGTGCGCATACCTGTGTGTATGTGTGAGTGAGTGTGCGTGTGGATGTGTGTGCGTAACAGTTAAAACACTATGTGCGTATATCTCTATGTACGTGCCTTCCTGAGGGCCATAAAAGTCAATCTCCCTTCCAGACCACAGTTATCCAGTTACAAATGTTGAGACCCCCACCCAGGTATCCTCTAGGGAATTTCCACTCAGCATTAACTCCTCTTTGTCTTACTTTCACAGTTCAACTGGGGGAGGGTCTCCTACAATCTACTCCTAAGTTCATGACACAGTCAGGCCTTTAGTTATATCGTGGGCGGTGTCAGTGTCTCACAATTCTATATCCTATCTAACACATTCCTAAACTCTAAAATAAGCTAAACATTCCTACAGTAGACAAACAGCTGATGAGATTGTGATTGTTATGGTGGATTTTCCTGATTTTTTTTATTATTTTATTTTTATTGAGTTTATCCTTTTTCTTTCACTCTGACAGAGTTTATTTTGACTGGTACACTTTGTATTTGTTTTTGTTTGTTTGTTTTTATTTGTTTTGTTTACTTTTTTGGGATGTAGTGACAACAAAATGTCATTCAGACAGATTTTAAAATGTTTGGAATCAATTGTCTGTGTACGACATGCTGAGTACATAGATGTAATGCAGGTGTCCTTTTTCTAAAATAGTAATATTGTTAATACTATTTATCGTATTTCTTTTTCCTCTGAGTGTGAGGAACATGTAGCAGCAATCACAGGTTTTTCATCTGTCTCATTTTCTCAGGACCATTTCCTGTATCCAATCTGACTCAGACAGAAATAACTACAAATGCAGTGACCTTGGTGTGGGCACAGCAGGAGAGCAAATTAAGCTACTCTTACTGGGTGCAGGTCAGCGAGTCCAATGTTATTGTAAACGAATTAAATGTGAACATAAAAAAAGTAAGGCTTTCATTTCTGTAAAGAAGTATTGTAAAAGTCTGGGCAGTCCCCTCCTTTTTTAAAAGTCTTTAAATTTAAAACACATTTTGATATTCAAGTGATTAGTTTTTTAATCAACAAGTTGATCATGGTAAATGCACTGATTCTTATTTAGCGCTTTTCGGAGTACCGCCTCCTTCTATGATTTTTAAATCATAGAAGGGGTGATCGTGGCTCAAGAGTTGGGAGTTCGCCTTGTAATCGGAAGGTTGCCGGTTTGAGCCCCGGCTTGGACAGTCTCGGTCGTTGTGTCCTTGGGCAAGACACTTCACCCGTTGCCTACTGGTGGTGGTCAGAGGGCCCGGTGGCGCCAGTGTCCGGCAGCCTCGCCTCTGTCAGTGCGCCCCAGGGTGGCTGTGGCTACAATGTAGCTTGCCATCACCAGTGTGTGAATGTGTGTGTGAATGGGTGGATGACTGGATATGTAAAGCGCTTTGGGGTCCGTAGGGACTAGTAAAGCGCTATATAAATACAGGCCATTTACCATTTTAAATGCTTATTAACTAACTTCCACACTCTTATAGAGCAGCTTAGGGTTAACATCTTGCCCAAGACTAGGGAGAGCCAGGGATCAAACCACCAACCTTCCAATCAGTACGACCTGTTCTACCTGCTAAGCTAAAGCCACGTTGTCCTCAGTGTTACACATTTTACTGACATGTCCTTTTATACCCCACTTCATTTTGACTTTTTTTTCTTATTTGCCACAGCCAGTGATCATTTTTTCAGACTTTTTTTTTCACTATCATATATTTACACTTTACTCACAGAGCCTGACGTAATCAGGAGTCTTACTGTCAGTGAAATAAGGATATCCTCTATATTTCTGAATTCATCTAGTGGGTGAAATGTTGTTCTATAGGTGACAAGATTTTGCTGAAATTATACTTTCTGTACTTGTGCATTTGGTAATAATTACTGGTGCACCCTTTGTTTCATCAGACATAAAATTGTTTGTTTTAAAAAAGGGCATGAAAAACACTCTCGGTTAGCAAAAATAATCGTTTTCATCATACTTGTGCATCGATAAATCTGTGCCATGTCACTTTCTCCAGCCACTGCTATGGCAGTGAACAACAACAATGAGTACGACTGTCACTCAAACTAAAGTAAATGTCACTGAGCTGACTCATGGAGTGTGCCATACTTTCACTGTCACACAATATTTTCACACTGCAGATTGATTCCACGATGTTTAAAGACTCTAATGGACCACAGTATTGTGTTTTTTGTTTTTGTTTTTGTATGAATTGATTTTACAAATGTCTAATGACGTCTTTCTTCATTTCTCCATTACAATTTTTCCAAACATTGTAGCTGTCACTAGTGTTGCTGTTGGTGTATCGGTACCAGTTTTTCCCATTCTCTTCAGTGTCCTCATCAGCTTTATTATCTACTGAAAAAGGTTTGCCACTATCACCAGTGATATAAAAATGATCTTTAAATCTCTGTGTATATGAATAAATTCTAAATTTACAGTTTACATACTTTATCTACTCCTGTAGGCCAGACAAAAAAGAATCGCCAGACATCCAGATTCAATCTTTAAGGTAAAATTTGTGGTTTTATCATTTTGTTGTACTATATGCATGATATACTTAGACAACAATTGTTTCTCTAATTGCTGCTTTTTCTTCTTTTTATATTTTTTATAGAGAAAAGATGTAAATATGAAATCTTCAAATCACAAAACATGAGCATATCTTTCAAATGTAATGTGATGTCACGGTGCTGGGTATGTGACCCAGTGTTGTGAGTGGATTCATTTTTCTTTCCTTTGCTTTAAGAAGACGATTTAGGTTTAAGCTTTGATTGGTTTAGTTCTTTTAGTGACTCTTAGTTTATCTATGTTTCTGGGTCATGGTTTCTTGTTTGCTGTTGTTAGGTTCCTTTTGTATTAGTTTCTGTCGCTCTCTCTTCTCTCTTGTTGTCCTCACCTAAGTCTCCGGAGTCGTGGATTTGGGTCCTCTCTCTGCCTGCCACACAGTACCATCATGACATGTTAGTGTTTTTCTGAACAAACCTTATCACTAAACTGTGGTTCAAGCAGAAATGTGGCTGTGAGTGTCGAGGACTTTGAGGCTTACTACCCGAAGCAGAGAGTAGACTCCAAATGTGGCTTTGCAGAGGAATTTAAAGGAAATCACAAAAACTGAATATTCATTTTGCTAGATTCATTTTTATGCCTTTCAGGCTTTTGATAACAGTCATCAAGCTTCCTGGATTCAAACACTGAGGTTTTTTTTTATTTTATTTTATTATTTTATTTTATTTTATTTTTTTGTAGATTTATGAATGTTGACAGTGGACGAAACTGCACATAGAGCTGCAATAATGGATTATCTGTCTTGGTCACTTTTCTATAGTTGCATGTTTTTGTATTGCTAAGATGTTTTATAAATGCTTCTTAATACTATATATGTCTCACTGATGATTAGATGTTTTTGCTCAGTGTTGGGAAGTTTAGGCTTCCCATGACTTTGTGTTGCATGTTACATTACTTATATAATCAAAATAAAATGTATTTATTATTCAGCCACAAGTGCAGTCTGTAGCTCAAACAACACATTTGCTTTGCATTAAAACACAGAAGATTGTGTGTTGTAATATTTTAAGGATGGCTTGTTTCGAGTCGTGGCACTACTGCCTGAATGACTGTCATGGATTTAAGTGATCCAAATATAAGTGCAGAAGAACGTCTTTAACATTGTCGCAACTTCCCTCACGTACAGTGGCAGTGCATGTGGGTTGATGATACAATGACCTTGAACCTGCAGGTGACCATCTACACTGATCACACCATCTGTGACAGAGGGCTCATCTCTCCTGGATTCCTACAAGGAAACAATCATATTATTTAAAACACCAACTTATTTGCTTACTTAAAACATTGTTTCTAAATTTGCTATAGAACAGACCTCAAGTTAAACAATCTTAGGCTCCCTCCCCACCGGAGAGGTGGCATTCAATGTCTTGCTTGTTATTCTTGATAGCCCTGACCACCACCCGACACACAATAATGTCATGAAAGCATTTTTTTAAAAAGGGCTTTGTAGACATGGCAAATAACCTTTCATTGTAATTGAAATAAGAATGCTGGTTTGAGATTGGAGTCAAGGAGGCCATTTACGTGAAAAGGGAAAGACCATCTGTGAATCGAGGAGGGGGCCTAAGGATACATTATTCAACATCTTACAATGCAGCCATTCCCCAACTCTCTGTGAACGGTACTCATGGCCATTGATCGGTGGTCTTTGATCAGTGGGTTTTGGTCAGTGGTTGCTGATCAATGGTCATGAGAATTTGCATAATTAAGATTAAGGAACTGACCTCCCAGCCCATTGTTCCTTCAGTTGGCTGGTTTCAGTCATTATGCAAATGTACTGTTTATAAGATTTGGGGAAACCTGCAGTCAGCTGAGACAGAAGAAGTCACTTGGATGAGTGACGAAACATTTCTCCCACAAAACGCTACGTCCAGATGAACAGAATCAACTTTTGGAGGCTTTAATTGTAATGATCTTCAGAATAATTTGGGCACAAAAAAATGTAAATTCAAAAACTTGCAGACTTCACTGTATACTGTGCAGACAGTGTGGACCTTATAAACGAAGTTTGTGGAATATGATCTTTCAATAAGTGCAGACCAAACTCTCGTTGTTTGTATTTGCTTACACAGCATGTCTTGTAGAATGTAGCTGTCACAGTCAAATGTGTTTATTTGATTATAATGTTCAAAACTGGGTATTTCATCTAATCCCCATGTTGTAATGTTGCCACCTACTGGTGGACTTGAGTATTGTATTTTGAGGTGCACACTAGTGATGGGAATTTCAGCTCTTTTCAGAGAGCCAGTTGTTGTGGCGCGGCTTCCAAAGAAGAGCCAGCTCTTTAGCTCCCAAATGGCTCTTAATTTATTATCATCTGTAACTTCATATTTTAGCCTTATAGCATATAAAGTTAAAATTTCTTCAGTATTGAACAACAGAAATTAGGCTTTCTTGTCCGAGGTCATTTAAGTGAAAAAAAGAAAAGAAAAAGACAGCAGCCACAGCGCTGTAAACAACGGTAGACTGGTGGGTAATAAGCGAATGAATAATACAGAAAACAGAGATTGGAGACGGGAAACTGTTCTTGAAGTACAGAGAGAGAGAGATGGAGAGAAAGCTAGCTGTGCATGAAGTGTGATTTTAATAGTCGTGGAAGCAAAACAGCAAAATTCATGACGACATTGATCAAATGTGAAGCGCAGTTTGCTGCTTCTTTTGCTGCTGGCTCGGTGAATTTTGGTTGGAGAGAGACAAAACCTGCAGCTCAGAATCAGCGCAAAAAGACTTAAACACAGAGCGGACCCGACGCAGAATCGCCGAGCTCCGACAGCGTGTCCGTCTGCGGGCTGTCGGGTGAGAAAGCCGAGAAAGACAAAGCTGATTCTGATGCGTCGGGTCTGTGTTTGGCCTAATAGAAGGGGTTTGTGTGTGCATCTCGGTCTTCAACATGTTCAAGTGACTGTTTTAGATGGAAACACTTAGTAATGAGTTGTTCTTTTTAAAAAAAACAACTCCTCACCAGCACCAATCAGCACAGCAGGAGATGACGGACAAGCAGAAGAAAGAAGTCGACTCTTTGAATGCTGTTATTTAAACATTAATTTGTTTTAGTTTTTAAGATTATGCTCTTTTCTACACTGCTGCCATGTTGTGGGATTCTACATGCCAGATGTTTTTGTCATATGTGATGAAAACATGATGATTACCTGTGTTTTCATTCATACCTGTTGACTACTGTAGCACTACAGTAAAATGTTTTAACCCTGCCTCTGCTTCTGCCTCTCGTTAATATTTAAAATCATATCCAGTGTTGCAAAATAGTTTTCTTTGCAATTCTCCCACTAGAGGGCGATGTTAATGTAGGTAAATAATTTTCAAACTGGGACTGTATCACATTGCAAAGCAACTCCCTTTTATGTAACTAGGCTGAGCTGTCAGCCTGATAAATCTTTTACATGCTGGACAGAAATTAAATGACTGGGAGGGAGCCAACGCAAGGAGACAACAATTCACAGTCTGGCTGCACAATTTGTTGCTTTCTTAAGCAAAGCAGGCTCCAAAGACCTCGATTCTGAAAGACGAATAAGAAAAATCAGACACATTTTCCTTTAAATGTATGTTGATTATCTACAAGTCTTTAGTGAAGATGTCTTTAAATATATAAAGCCTTTTATTCAGTCAGAAAAAAATCCACATTGTGAGCCCCTTTATTTTGTTACTTTAGAGCATATTTAAAATGATGCATCACACCGCAAATTAAAAACCTGTGGTGTGATTTCATTGCTCCCTTGTGTTTGGGAGGGGTACCAAAAACTTTGGATCACATATGTGATAGTAACTGTTCAGCCCTGAGCTCAGGCCTGAGAGTACAACTTGACGAAGCAGAAGTCTTCAGCCAGACACCACATGGACTGATAGTTACCCTCTCCATTTAACTACTGGTTTAATCTACTGTTCTGATTGTATCTGTTTTGATTTTTGATTTTATTTACTGTTTTGTTTGTTTGTTTGTTTTAATCAATTTTAAATCGTGCTTTTTATTTTTGTTTCTAATGTCTCTGTAAAGCACTTTGAATCACCTTGTTGTTGAATTGTGCTATACAAATAAACTTGCCTTGCCATTGAGGTTAACTGAATTGTTTGTGGCCTAAGAGGCAGGATTATTAAGCACTGCTAGCATACAATTAATCTCTATTTTTTTTTCTATAACATCACAACTAAGTAAAATAATTTGAAAATACTAAAGCTCATAGATTACTTAGATTTCTTCCCATTGATTTAGTTGTGGATAGTTTCAATTATGCAGATCCCAGCTGTTGGAAAAAACTATTATTCTTGCACTATATGACAATATATAAGTCAGATTTCTCATGTCATGTAGTTCACATCCTGTAATGCCTTCCTTAAGTGTGAGCTCATGTGAGCGACAGCAACAGAGTCTAGTTACTGTCACCTTACAAAGAAAGTCTTTGAACTGTAAAGAAGTGAATACCTGGCATATCCATGTGTCAGTTTTAGCCAAAAGAATCGGCCTAATCTGCACAGGTGGAATGTGATTATGATTTAATGTTTCCCTGAAGCTATTTGTAGGGTTTTTTGTGTGCCTCAATGTGATATGAACATAGTAATAATTATATCCATTAAAAATTCACCTTGTTTGATAAGCCAGTGTCTAATTGTGCTGTTATGGCTAAAATATTCTGTACAGTACTATTAAAAATAGTGTCTTCAAGTCACCATTTGAAGTTTGAATCTGTCCTGATAATGAATTTTTTCACTGTAGATTATTTACTCTTTTTGTGCACACACATGGAGCTATTGGGGAATCAGTGTCTTGTTTAAAAAACTGTAATGGGGCAGGCACTTTCTATAACGTTTTATCTCTTCTGATCCAATTGATCTATATGAGCTGATGTTTCCACCATCTCTTAGTTAGATCTTGAAAAGCCCTTTTTCCCCACTTTGCATCCTGATGGAGGAAACGTTTGATGAGAATATGGCAGGAGCTGAGCTACAGAGAGAGCCGATTGGTAGCTGAATGAAGGTCAAAGGGTCGTCTCCTTCCCTTGCATTGTTTCCCATTCAGCAGAGTTAGCTGGATATCTGAGTGGGAGTAAGATGGACCATTGTGTTGTCTAACTGTATGTGTGGGGTTGGCGGAAGGAGTGATAGTCCATAATAGGTCTTGGGAGAGTGTCTGTGTTCTTTTTCCAAGCAGTGAGCACTCCAGAGGAGGTACCTTGGAATATGTTTGAGTGAGTTTCTAACAGTGCATATGTTTACATCTCCTGGCAAGGTACAAATGAGGAGTGTCAACTGAGATCTGGCCAAATGTGTTCCACACAGACTTTTTTGCTCACTTTTAGTAGCCATTGGGACCTGTGATCCTGTTGTGCATAAAAATATATATATAAATTTTTATATACTGCACACACACACACACACACACACACGCACGTGCGCGCGCACACACACAGCATTGTAATATTGTCAGATATTTGTTTTTTTATTTACACATCTTCGAGTTTCAATTTTTTATAATAGCATCAGCCACTAAGCTGTAGAGAGGACGATGGTCAGACCAAAGAAAAGAGTGAAAAGTGAATTGATTTTTGAAAACGCTCTTCTGGAGGTCGACAAACAACCCATAGCTGCCAATGGACTTGTTTTTCTTTTTTCTTAAGCTACTGGAGAACATCAATAACAGACCATCAAGATGTGTCTAATGAGGTCATAGAAACATCAGGAGATGCTTAGGCTCATCTTTTATATACAGTCTTTGCTTTAATTAGCAGACATGAAGCCTAGTGGACAAATATTGACTTTAAACCTGACAACTGCAACAATTTAAACCTCCATTATACATTTTAACATGCTAGTCTTTGGTAAATTGCTCTCTTTTGGAGACAGCTACAAGCAAAGGAAAAAATAGAACTCTACTCCTCATATATGTACACATACTTGAACAACAAAGCTAATGCCAATT